CAACCGATGCATGCTGGGTTACAGCGAAGATTTTGACTGAGGTAACAAAGATGGCGGCGCAGAGTGCATGTTTTTCCGCGATGTTTAAAAACAACATTTCGTTGGCGATTTTGATGTAATTTCTTAGTTAATCATCAATGAATCGTTTTAATTAAGCAAACATTCTAAGTTTGTGTATTTTTAAACAAAAAAGTCAGGGACCGATGATCGCAACAGCAGCGGTGAATACCCGTTCAACGCAATGCCGTCAGCTGACAATGTTACGGTGATCGTAGCGTTACACAAATAATAGATAGATCAATGAAAAATCGCTGACTTTAGTTTTGAAATGCCGTTGTAGAAAAAAAATGTCATTATTGATTTATTAATTTCTTCATATAGATTTTACAAGTCCCAAATTTATTTGTTGTGCGCCTTTCTTAGTCGTCCACCCCCGGCGGACTGCTCCCATGCGTCTGCCTGATGTCGAGGGCTGCTCTTCCGTACTTCGTGTTTGTGTTCCCACGGTGCGTTTTCCCCTCAGTGCCATGTTGTGATGAAAAGCAGCGAAAAAGCATTTTTCTGATCACTCGCTGTTTTTCTCCCGTCCTTGCTGCACTGCTTACACGATTTTTGACTCCGGATAGTCTGCATATTTCGTGCGAATCCATGTTTTCACTACGAATAAATGACGACAGACGTGTTACTTGGAAGAGAGCCAACTTCTCTTATGGATTTTTGAATTCTACTCGAGTGTCCACCAATCAGTTGTTTACCTGTGCGGATATTGAAGAATTTGTGCATTACTTTAGTCGTGCGATTCAATGCCTTGAAACATTCATAAGCATTGACCAATGCAACATCTATGAGGTAACAGCCATGTAGATCCACCAACGATTGTTTTTTCTGCCCGTGTGATTGTATTTTCGCCTTTGGTTAGAACGATCCACGCCCCCCATGTGATGTCTGTACAGGCACGTGTCTCTTGTCATCTACTGCTTCTGTCGACGTAGCCAGTGGGGGATAGACTGTA